AGCGGCCAGCTTGTAGTTTGAGTGTGAGAGGGCGGGGTTAACCCCAAACGTTTGGGGCTGGTGAGACTGGAGTCCTGGCTGTGGCTGGTGAATGACCACAAACCCGCTGAGCTGGCGGTGTTGCCACCGTGCAGCTGGCCCATGAATGGGTTGGGACGTGCTTGTGTTCTGTCTACCCTGGGACTTGATGGTCAGACCGGCAGGGTGGCGCCCTCACCTGCCTTCCTTCACCTGCCTTCCTGCAAACTAGACATGAAGTTGCATCAGCTGCTGCACCTCGCAGAGCGAATTGAACACCTTGGGCCAAGTTTCACAACCGCGATGTGGGGCTACGAATCACTGTGGAACCATTTGGTGAAGCTGATGAAGAACAAGCAGTACTCCGAGGCTACCTGTATGCGCAGCTGGATACATAAGGAGTCGGTGATTCTAGCTGCGGAGAGGTTACCCGAGGGCCTCTGCTCTTTTGAACCCCCACAGGACGCCGTGTCCGCTGGAAAGTTGACCCATCAGCAGAAGGCATATTGGACAGTCACTAATTCCACCGGCCCCAGCGTTGACACTATCTCTAGAAATGCTGCAATAGGATTTAAGCAGGCACGGCGCGAGACCCTTCCGGAAGGCTTCCTCCTGGAGATGCATGAGACTTACCTGCGCCACAGCACCGACTACTCTGATTTATTTGGTGTCTTCACCGCCTGGCTGTGGGAGCAGTGGACTGATGACACGACCCCGGGGCCATTCCTGTCCGACTATCTTTCACACATGAGGATAAGGACCCACTCAAGAAGGACGCTGTTGCACCGGGACAGCCATGGCTCTGTGTCCATGCGGAACAAGGTGTGAAACCTGGTGTGACTGCCCTGCGATGCATGCCTGTCTTCATCGCTACAACTTGGTAAATACACTCACCACCTTGAGCGACCGTGCCGTACCTATCTGCTGGTGTGCCTCTTGCCTGCATCTGTAGGTGCTTGCCAAGTGCTGCCTCAGTGAGCTGTGGTGCCAAGATGTGTGGGTGCAGCCGGGTTTGCTGTTGGGGTCAAAGCCAATCAGTGGTATACATCTCGCAGGCAGGTTCTTGGAGAAGCTCGTGGCCATCAAGCTCAACAACAACGTGGAGCTCACTGCATTCGATAGCAACAAGCCTAAGACATCACAGGCCTGCTGGTTCATCACCCGGAGATGCAACTCCAGCGACAAAATGTGGGCGGGGAAGGTGCTGGGCTTGTACCGCTACAGGTCGCCATTGAACAGGGATAAGTTCGATGTGGTGCTGGAGGTCGAATGGCATGCTCCCCTGCTGGGGAACAACAGTGATGCCGAAGTTGCAGTCGACCAGTTCATGAATGTCCCCTTGGTGGACGCAAGGGCTGCCAGTGTGTCCAACACAGGCTCTCGTTACTACCTGGCTGAGGATGTTGCGCCTTGCCGAGTGCACATCTTGCCACACCCCAGTAAGCGGGGCGCCCTGTGTGTTCTTTCAAGAAGCTACAGCTTCATGCGGGTGGCTGGCTGGGAGGCCCTGCAGCCACAGACCCCATGGGCGAGGTCACGGTAGCAGCACATTAGTAATATTAGCGCTGCAAGACCTCTGAATCCCTTGTGGCTTGCTCTTGAGGGGCAATCGTTAGTAACACATTGGTGGAGTGGAGGGCAAATCGTGGGGACTGGTGGGCATGGTCGCCCAGGCCCTCGAATGGTCGGACCGTGGCCTGGGCGGGGCTTCTCAATGAAGGTACAGCTGATGGTATGGCTGATGGATAACCGAATGAATGTTGTGCACAGGGACGTATTGGTGAAGTAATAGGTAATGGGAGTGGCACATTACTATGCAAATCGACAGAAATTGCTTGGGGCCCGTTCCATACGTTGACTGACTAAATCCTTCGTTGGATAGTTGATTGTTGGGGCATGTCTGCTTCGCTTGTATACTGGGGCGACTTCCTGGTGCCAGCCAGTACTAGTTTTCGAAGGGCCTTACCCGCGGGTCCAGAGCAGTAGGGGCCCTCATGGTCGGTCTTGTGGATGATTTCAGCACTATGAACTTATTTCAGAATACAGGACTGACTCTCTGTTTCCTGCTTGAACTATATATGGAAGGGGCAAACCACTGTAACTTGTGCGTGTTTCTGCTAAGTTTTCCGCACTGTTGCATTCTCAAAGCCATTCTTTCTTAAAACCGTCATAAGAATGCTTGAGACTGGCATAAGATCATTCTCAGCAGCACCAGCATTCTTAAGCCGTTCTTAGCATTCTTAGCGTTCTCAGGAACGTTCTTTAGCACGCTTCCATTTTGGTAGGGTACTCTCGACGTGTCTTTCCACGTCCCCCTCGGACTGAAACATCACGATGGTCGACAATGGCTTCGACCATAAAATACGGTTCACCCTCAATGACGAGTGGCGCCGGTGGCTGTCGCTTTACGTCTTCTTTGTACAATTTCAACAAAGAGACGTGGAAGACCGGGTGTAGGCGGGAGGCCGCCGGTAAGTCCAGTTTTACCGCAGCTTCGCCCACGCGAGCAACAACCGTGTATGGGCCGATGAACTTGGGCATCAGCTTCTTGGTTCCAGGGGTTTTTAATGTAATATTTTTGGTACTTAACAGCACTTTCTGCCCAACCTCGTAACGCACTGGACGCCTATGCATGTCGGCGTCGTCCTTTTGGACTTGCTGCGCAGCCAAGAGACACTTTTTAGCTTTGCTTATACGCTCGCGAAGCATTGCTTCTTGCTTCTGAGCGGCCGGCACCTTGGTTTTTAGGTGAAGGTCAACCGGAACACGCGGTTGCCGAACACCATTCAGGGAAAACGGAGTTGTCCCCGTTGCCTTCTGTTTTGAGTTGTTTATGGCAAACTCAATCAGTGGCAAATGCTCATCCCAATCATCTTGAGTGGGTGAGATGTAGTGCCTGAGTGTCTCTTCCAGAACACGATTCATGCGTTCCGTTTGCCCGTCTGTTTGCGGGTGAAAAGCTGTGCTCATATAGAGGTGGGTGCCCAACAGGCGAAATGTTTCCTTCCAGAAGTTGCTTGTGAAGTGAGAGTCCCGGTCTGAAATAATGTTCTTTGGAAGGCCGTGCTGCCTGAAGACGGTAGCCACAAAGAGGCGGGCTACATCTTCAGCTGTAGCGGTTGTGTGTGTGGGAGCAAAGTGCGTCATTTTGCTCAGCCGGTCCACGAACACTACAATC